GGGAAGGGAAGGGAAGGGAAGGGAAGGGAAGGGAAGGGAAGGGAAGGGAAGGGACAGCTGGGGACCGTATTTAATAATATGTGGCTTATGCTTTATGGGTTTTATGTAATTACCTGTCATCACTGTGCTGCACTCAAGTTGTATTCCATGTTGATGGTCTTATAAATATTGAAATAAAAAAATTGAAAGTTTTTCTTCATGTGAATGAGGTAGGATAACGTGAGTGCTGAGAGGTTTAAAGTTATGGGGAGAGGCCCATCTACCTCTTGTTTGGCAATAATTTGAACAGAAAAAACCTATCACGAACGGGTTTTTGTTTGTCTGTTTGTTTGTTTTCACTTTATTTTATTATGTCTAGGAGACTGGTCATTTTTTGGTATAGAAAATCCTCTCTGTATAGGCAGATGAAAAAGTGGGAAGCATGTAGCCATTCTGGGTCAATTCAGACAATCCATCCAGACACAGAGACTCTAACATTAATCCCTTGGTCATGGCAACACTGTTTGGTTCAAGGTGCTATGCTACCGTAAGTGAATCTATCAAGTGCTAGTAACACAGAGCACAAGCAAGAAGGCTGAAGCAGCACAATCCTACAAGACTCACCTCCTTCCTTACATGATCCTGATGGAAGCACAGTTCTCTCTCCTTCCTCAGTGTACTGAAATCCCACCATATCTGCCCAAATCAGCTGTGCACTTTTCCTGCTGGAAAATATGGGATGGTAAGTTGAAGATAGGGTTTATTTGTGCTTCTGGCCTATTACTTTTCTACCTGTGACCCTACATTAACATTTCCTGATGAATCATCATCTTTAGCTAGTGGGAATATTCCTGTGATCTCAGAGTATCTAAGTTCCCTACCTCACCTAAATTTATCCATGTAATGACTGTGTCTGATGTCCTCAGACGATTCCTTCTTCTCTAGGTAGATGCTGGCTATTAGACAAGATAATGAAAGAGTAAAACATTTGGTTATTCCTATAAAAATGATGCATCAGATGTCATGACGTGACCTCATTTCTAAGACTTTCCGAGGGAAGAATACGTAAGGTAAATACTCCAGTCCTAAATCAAACAACTTCACACTGAAGTTGAGAATCTCTGTCCTACCCTCCTCCTCCCCACATTCTTCTACTCTTCCAGCCTTCTCTGGACTCTGGGAGCACAGCTGACATTTTGGGGAAGCTCCCAAGTCCTGCTGTGCTGCCTTTGATCAGTGCTGCACTCATCATACTGCAAGTCCACCTGCACACGTTGAAGAGGAGGAATTGCTCTCCCTGTGCCCGTCCTGTTGCGTAGGGATCAGCTGACATGAGTCACGGATGGGTTTGGTATATCAAAGTCTGAAAGTCAAAGATTACAGAAAACCTATAAAGAAAATGAAACCTGAGTAAGATTCTTAGCTGAAGCAGAAGCGGTCTTTAGAAATCCAGTTTGAACCGGAGCACAAGAGATGCATGTTCACCCTGCAATTTGGCTGCAGACTTCCTGTTTGCTTTAAGGTGGAAAATGTAAACTTCAGGCTTGCTCAGTCCTGCAGGAAAGAAAAGGGTTTTACACAGTAATCCATCTTTCAGGGATCACATTATGGGTTCAGAACTTAAGGTCTGAGGTTAACTTAACATCAGGAGGTTTAGCAGGCAGTTGTGACATCTTCCTTCTGTTCCACATGTTTAACACCCTATGTGGACCTTCTGATTCCAGAGGCAGATTGCTTCTTCGGGATTTTATCAGTGTATTTTTCAACTCAAATATCAATATTGTTTGGTATCTGGAAAATTTTCTCACTTTTTTGTGGGGAGAGTAACATGCAACAATTCATTCTTGTATATTTAGTTTCAGTCTGTGAGTGGTTAAAAAAGTAGAGATTGCCTCTGTGTGTTTCATGCTAAAGTTTGCCACTGAAACTCTGGTATTGGGAGGACATGTAGAAGTTTCTGTAATAAAAGAACAGCACAAAAATTCCAAACATAGATACTTGAACAGAACCTAGGTCACCTGTATGGAAAGATGAATATTGCTTTCAGCACTAGCTATCCTCTGTCACTGAGATTTTTCATCTAGCAAGAACATTAGAAATAAAATGGGGCATGGAGCCCACATGAAGAGTACTCCATTGTTAGGGCTAGCTCAGGTCTTTGACATGACATTCCCCAAACATCACCCAAATGAGAACCAGCCCATGCTTTGATAAGAATGGTAGAAAAGTTTGTGGTGCAGATGATGTTTGGCAGAATTTGTTCTTGTCACAACATAGATGCACTGGTCCAGCTCACAGCAGAAATAAGAGCTGCCTTCAGCATCCACAAGCTGGTTGGTCCTGGTCCAACAGACTGGGGATATATGAAAAGAATCTGTTTGTGTTCGTCCTTTTGTTACCCTTCGAAAATTGCTCTGTTTCCCTCTGCCCTTTAATACAGCTGTAAAATGAGATAATATTTACTGGTCTGTCTAGAACACGTGAGATTTGCAAAGGGAAAGAACGTTTATAAATTACATATCTTTTCTTTTGTTTTACCAAGTACACAACAGTAAGGATGAAAGATAAAAGGTTCTGAGGCAGCAGACACACAGTTCTTACATCAGTAAAACAAGCCAAAGTAGCTCAGTAATTTGCTCAGTACTCTTTCATGGTAATGAGCTTTTCTATCAAGAGGATGTCTGGTGTTGTTTCAACCATTTCCTTGGAATTGGTATTGCCATTTTCCAAACTGACCACCTGGAATAATCTCTGCAGCAGGCTGAAGTAGTACTGCAAACTAAAAACTACATGCTACTGAAGGGCTGACTTCTCAACAAACACAAGTCTCCTGTCTAAGAGGAAGTTAGATCTCTCCTTTTGTATTTAAATCATTTCACAATGAGGTGTGATTAGCTGCTCTTCCTGCTGTATGCAAAGATCTCTCTCTCTCTTCCACTTCCCCAAAAGCTAGCAAAATCATTACACCCCAGATGAGCGGTAGGAACTGTGATTCACTTTGTGCAATGTCTCTATCAACTAGTTATGCAGCACTGTCAACATCCAACAATTAAATAACTGAATCTCAAAAACTAATCTTAAAATTGGATATAAGACCATGTAGGTACAGTTACTTTCCTGTATTTTCTGCATAGCAATGCAAGCAAGTTGCAATTGCACTGCACACAGGTTAGAGTTTTTATTTCATATTTTTACATCCACGGGTTTAGTTGCCCAGAGAAGAAAGCTGAGTGTTGTGCTTTCACTTGACTCTGAGACCTGGCACCTAAAATGCCTCTGCTCCTGTTTATTGGAAATAGCTACCTGTCCATGGTGGGCAAAGTGTTAGAGAGAAAAATAAGTTAAGGAAACAAATCACATTTATAACATAATCAGTGGGGTAGTCCTGTGATAGCATAATGTTCATATTATAAAATTATGACTAAATGAGCTTGCTATTACTTTCTAATCTAGCTGATGTCCAAGAATTTTATAGTATAACCATTATGTTTTGAAAGCAGGTGCTATCATAATTGCCTAACTTACTGCAGTGTCCCACTAACAGCTTGTATTATTGTTGAATTTTAAAATTCCCTGAGGCTTAGAATGGCACTTATTGTTGGAGATTGTAGGGAACTAATTTTGAAAAGAATGAAAACAAGCATGTAAAGAAAAAAAGACTTCTAAGAATTGTATCAGGTTCCAACATGGCAACTTTGTGCATGAGAGAAGAGCACAGTAGACACTGTTTTTATTTATTCAAGAAACATGCCATGCTTTGATCTCTCAGCCATTGGTTTAACGCTTTAATTCCTTTCTCTGATTGCTGCTGCTGAGGAGTGAGAAATGTTACCCATGAGTTGGGTATAAAACAAAGTTGAATAAATCCTCAGCTCAAAAAAATCATAAGTGTACTCAGTGCTAACTTCCCAGATATCCCCAGGCAAAGTTCAGTTACTTTCTGCTTACATTGTATGGGTTTTTCAAAGCTGAAGCTGTCTTTTTATGAAGTGGTTATGACTGGTAGTAGTTTCTTCAGCTACTCTAACAGTTGCAGAAATAGCACAAGATGAAACTATGAATATCCACTCCATTACCCTATGTTGAAATTGCATTTATTTAAAGCACAGAAAGCAACAAGTTGTATGACATGAAACTGTTGTAAAAAACATCAGTCAAGTAACACTAACAATACACCAGAAAGTACACAGTAAATTTAATATTTCAATGAGTTTTAAATTTTGACCCATTAAATAAATCACTCCGTTTTTCCATCCTCACTAGGTAGCTGATCCAGAGTGTACTGCTCATGGGGATCCAGAATGATCTGATTGCTGGTCACATACAGACTTGCATAGATTTGGAACTTCATTGCCTTCCAGGGAGCTGCTATTTCACAACTTTCACTCAGAACAAGTATCCTTAGGATTCACTAATATGTTCATAAGAGACCAGATATGTTATTGATTTGTAGCAGGTTCTGCCTGGTTTCTTGCAATAAACCAGACTGCAAAATCCCCAGATTGTACCCTGCTGCAGTGATGGAAAACAGATACATCCTCCCCTTCACTAAAGGACCTACAGAGGACAAAAATGACATAATCTGGGAAGTACACACTGTTAAATGAACAGATGTGAAGTAAAACCACTATCAAAACACTACAAGCTGTGCTCATGATGGGAATTTGGGAGACAAGAAGCTATATATACATGTCAGTATGTTCTCAGCAGCAGACCATTCACCTTTCCTTTTTAAACTGCTTTTATTTAAAATTGATGAGTGAAGATATCTGAGGATATATTTTCCCTTAGTACTTTACTCCCTTGGCATAAGAGCTGTCACAGAAAGATATTTCCTTCAATTTGGAAGGCAAAGGTGAGATGCCACAAGACTAATTCCTGTGACGTAATGTGCATTCTTTGGCACTGGCTAATTATAGCACAGAAAACTACCAGCTTCCCTGCCGAGGACAGAGCAGATGATCTCTGCTGTAGGACTGCACTCTGCCCTAAAGTTCTTCCTGTGTCACAGTGCCCAGTGACACTGCAGTGAAACAGCAGTTTGTCATCCCTTCTCAGACAGCTGTGCAACAACAGCGCTGAGGAGATTTCTGAGCCTGGCTCCCCTTTTCAAGGTTAGCCAGATCTGCCACTGACAGTAACCCATACTCATTCTCTGTCATCTCACAAGAATAAAGAGGAACAAAAGAAAAACCTCAACCCCAAAACACCATGGCTCTTTAATTTAGACAAGTGTATGTCCAAGAGATGGAGATGAAAGCAAAGAAAAAAGTGGCTATCTTGATTCCAAGGCAATGACATGGAATAGTATTAAAGTTGGTAAATAAGATTAATACAGCCTCACACCTATCTTACTAATGCTTTTTCTTTTCTACTTTTTTCCAGACATTCCCCATCCTCTGGACCATAATTCAGTTATAGCACAATATAGGTCTACACAGTTGGCTACTCCCTAGATTTTTAAGTTACTTCCTCCTTTACTTTTCAAGATATTGCCAGAAATTTATATAAATTCTGTACTCCACCCCAGTGCACAAAGCTGTAAAGTCTGTAAATATTTTTTTTTTTGTAATAAGATGCTTTACTGATTCAAAGGGGAAAAAAGTAACTAACACAAAATGTAGGATATAAACATATCACCCCAAATTTACTGAACTTAGAGTAAATGTAATCCTAATGGGTGTGAAAGGAACATGATAATTAAGAGGCATTCATGTTGAACTGCATGCTAGGAGAGTGCTTTTAGAAACTAGGAAAAAGATCCTAGTGCCCCTTTTTATTAGAACAGAAAGTCTTTTATTGAAAGCTAATTTTGTCATAGTATTTATAGTTAATTTATTAAAACACTTGAGAATGTTTTAAACTAATTTCCCAAGAGGAATTAAATTTTTCTTTTTTAGATTTTTTGGTTTTTTTTTTTTAACTTTTGTGTGACTTATTTTGACAGTTTCAGGGACAGAAATGTTTTGATTATTCAGGAAACAAGTATAGTAGAAACCACTGATGCACATAGTCCCTCAAATTGCCTGTCCAACACGATTTGATACTGTCAAATATCCTGAATGATGAATGGGTAAGGGTATAATTTAGTCTCCAGGTACCTGAGTCTTCCATTTCTATTGCAGCAGTGCTTTTCTTATATGGGAGCTAAATGGAGATCATAAAATCATTTGATTGACCAAGTAGTCAGGAAGGAAATTATCTTTTTTGTTGTTACTTTGAATTTAAATTGCAATGACTAAGAAAATTAGTATCTTGGATTCCACTACCGACTCCTTAAGTGAGTATTTTTCAGGGGGTATTTTTTTAACAGGATGATATCCTACTTTCCAAAGCAAAACAAACCAAAACATTTGCAGTCCTCACTGTCTTTATAAAAACAGATTCACATTTACTGCATGGAAAAGTGACAAATCCATGTAGTATCTCTTGAAAAACTGAAAAGCATGCCTGACCTTGAAGAATAAAGTCAGAAGGAGTACAGAAGTCAGGTTGCCTTTGCTTTTTGATTTGCAAAATTTTCAGCAACTTGCCAACACCTGGCCATATTTCATTACTACCATGTCTGTCACAACCCACCTTCTCAGAAATACTGCCCTGGTCCATCCCCCTAACCATAATGATGAAATAACTGGCTAATTTCAGTGCTGGTGACGTAAGAGTCATCAACAATATTTGCCAAATTACCATAAGACAGTAAACAAGAATAATATGCCATCCTTCTAAGAGATATATTTGGCTGTAATTACCTGGATATTTGAGGTTAAAGTAAGTTCTTGGATACCTTGTGATTAACTGGGACATTCCAGAAAAAAATTAAAAAAAACAAACAAACAGGCAAATCTTTAAAGATGAGATTGCTCACAAGGACAAAAAGAAAAATAAAATGACTCCTTGTTACAATGATAGTTGGCTAGTTAAATCCCTTGTCTAAATAAACAGCATATACTCATGACAGTTCAAAGACAAACAAACCAAGCAAACAACCAACCAAACAAAAAACCCTGAAGTATTTCTATAGACTTTCTTATTTTCCTAAATCATTAAATTAAGTCAGTACACCATCAAACAATTAAAACACAGCACTCCACAAGGCTCTGTAATAATTTCCCCAGAGAAACACAGCATTATTCTGTACAAAACACAATGTGGGGAAAAAACGAGAAGGAATATTCAAGAAAAAAAAAAGTCTAAATGAAGAGTGACAGCAAGTCAACCTGCTGCCTCTGCCGTAGCGTAATGTTTATTTAGCTACAAATAAGTGAACAATTCACCAACAGGACTGCCTCAGAAGAAGGAGACATGGCAAGGAGAAGTAGTTTGCTGCAGGCCATTTGTGACATCAGTGGTACTGGGGCTCCTAGCTCAGTGTGGGTCTCTGCTCCAGGTCTTGGAAACACTGGCTGATCTCTGCAGGGAAACCTACTGAGATAAAAGGTGGTTTATACTTCAGTGTATGAAGTACACCATCAGTGTCCTGATTAGCTTAGGCTAACTAATTCCCTGTAGCTATAGTCAAACAGTGAAAACTGTACTTTGCATGTAGCCAGGCAGGTGAACAGAAGCCTGCCCTTCCATCAGATTGAGGCCTGTTGTGACCCCTGAGCAGCTATGCCCATACTGGGGAGCCTGCGAATCACCTTAAATGTTTGAGTAACTATCTTTAAGCATTAACATTTTATCTGAACAAGCAACTTTTAAAGCCTATTAGGTAAATTGGTCAGATCCTTTCTTAAACTCAAGCACTCCTCAGAGGTTGTGGTTTACTTAGTACATTTGCATCCTGGAACGAGCACTGGCGTAGCAACCGAATTAGGATGGTCCAAATCTGGCTAGTAATCAATTACATCAAAGTAATAAAAATAGACATATCTTGAAAACGCTCCAGAGAATCCTTTGATGTCTCTTTAGTAAACACAATAGGTCAAATTACCTACTGCTGAAAACTGCTGTTAAGAGCTTGGTCATTTTCAGTAACAGCACAACCCATACAGACTTAGTTTGCAGTGTGAAGGCAGCCTGAGGGGACAAAAAACAGGTATAACAAGGAAAGGCAACCACCTCCAAAGGGATAGGGTAAAGTAGGTCACCATTAAAAACCTTTTTGACAAGGTCTCCAACTGATGTACCCTGGCCTCCTGAAATTGATAAAACTCCCAAGTTGCTCCAGAGAGGGGTTTTGCCTGCTGAATTCAGCCTTATTTTAGCAACAGTGGATAATTGCTTAGCCCTTCACACCCCTGCTATTTTGCCACATATGTTTATATTATCTATGTTTATTCAGGCACGTAAAGAATTCATAGAAAAGAAGGAAACAGAGGTAGTTAGTAACTGCAAGACAACAAAAATTTTTGGTTTTCAGATTTGGCATCATAATTACACCATGCACATGCTCATCTGACTTTCATGCTTCAATATCCATAGAGCTGAATCAGCACAGAAAATGAACATTCTTGTTGACAAAAACTGCTGGTGACTTGACAGGGATGTATTTTTCATCTAGATCAAATGGTAGTTTTGCTGGGAAAAAAACAGGAATGCTCTGTATGCATGCTAATAAATTACCTGTAGTGATTTTCAGAGATTCTGTTGCTTAGGTCTGTGAAAATAGCATAAAGAATTTTACGTTGTCATGTGTTTATTCTTGTAAAATAGCTCTTATTTTCTGGAAGCATTTCAAGAGTAAAGAGAAAAATAGTTAACTGAAAGAAAACTATGTTGTCACTATGAATATAAAAAAGTGCCAAACAATGAAGTGCTAAACAAAATCCTGAAGACCAGAAGATTTTGTGGGGGACTTCAGTCTATTTATCTTGGTGTAAGTTACTCAAGTGTTCTATGCTTTTGTGATTCCCACATGACTGTGCAAGCCATGAAAACTTAGCATATCATTATTCAACAAAACACTCCAGGTTTTCACTGGGAGTCATTATGTAGACTTAAACACTAGGTTTTTCAACTCCCTACACAAAGCTGCAGCAACTCAAAATGGATTGATGTAGGGACTCAGCATTTTGCTCCATGACCTAGAAGTGAGACAAAAAGCACTTCTAATTCAAAGGAAATGTGGATTAGCTTGGCAATTGCTTCAATTAAAGTGTCAGGGAAGCTGTTGAAGAAACAACCAGAGATGAAGAATTGGCCAAGTCGGAATATCAAGAAAGCTGCCTTTTATCTGGTATTTCTTAAAAAGCTAACTGCTGCCTAACACACTGACCTTGGGCTTCACTCCACACGTGAAAGGGGGTTGCTGCATCTTCTTCCTAATGGAGGGAGACTTAATGATCCCAGATGCAACTGCCAGGGAACTGAGCTTGCACTACGAAATCTGTAACTGTGACCTACTCATCCTTATTCAAGAGGAGAAGCTCCCAGCTACACAGAGGCCTGCTGATCTTTGTTATTTGAAAGAGATCAAGCGGACCACAATGGCATCCCCAAACCTGTTTTTTTCCACTGTCTTGTATTGGCACTTGGCAAATTCAGTCTTTGTTGTTGTGTTAAAAAAAAGAAGCCAATGGAACAATCTTATCAGCTTTCTCGTGTGATCTTATTCTTTGTGGTATCCACTGAATCAAAATGGTCTTCAATAAGGTGAGTTTTGCTCAGACTAAAGAGGGATTTGGCTGCAAGCTTGATTTACAATAATTAAAGGAAAAACAAGTTGGACAGGATGCTGAAGAGAAAATTGAGGCCTGGTAATACATGCAAACAGGGAGAAGCTGTTGTTGTTGTTGTTCATCTTAGCGCTTTGTTTTCTAGCAGCAAGAGCTGAAGTATTCCAAATAGGAACTAATAGTAATCTATTGGATGGACTAGATGGATATCTTGCTTTTGTTGAAGTAATTTTTTTTTTTTCCTCTCCTAAAATGGGAAATCTTTTTGGAAAACTTTTGTATCTTGTTTCCCCCTTTCCTCTCAGATACATGAAGTATCCTGTATGGAATGCTGCTTGGTGTCCAGGATGCTTGGTTGCTCCACCTGTTTTGAAGGCGGGTAGAATAGCAAGTCCCAAATATAAAACTGGCTGGTCTCAGGCAAGAAGAAGTGAAAAACCAGCACTGATGTACAAGTAACCTATGTCAACCTTTCAACTAAAAGGCTGAGCTGCTTTTCGCTCAAGACCCTGAGGGGCAGTGCTATAACAGCCAAGCAAGGTACCCTCCATTCATGGCTGGACTATCCTTTCCTCTGTTGGACCATCAGGAAGCAGCTGAAATGGACTGGTGAATCCATCCCTTGGAGGCTGTTGATCACTTGGCCACACTGGGCTCTGGAACACCATACTTGAAAAAACAAAATTCAAAGACGGGGTTCAAGAGAGCTCATCTGCTCTCAGTATTTTTGTGCAATCTGTTTATTACTTGGTGACTTCTACTTAGCTATTTTGCATAATAAACCTCTAAAAGTCTAACCTGACTCCACTACTGTGGAGGATTAGACATGGTAATACCCCTCTACAGCCACTTCTGAGGATTAGCTTCAAAAATCAAATTAAAATTAAGCAAACACAAATAGTTCCACAATAAGTTGCAACACCCTTATTCAGTAACCATCATCTGCACCTCTTGCATTTTATATTACCATATGAAGAATCTATGCAAAAAGAATATACATGCTGTGTGTGGTAAAACTGAGAAATTCTCCGTATGGGCACATCAACATATTCAGGTTTTGAGGCCTTACTTGCTCAGATTTTCCTAGTGAAGCAAAAAAAAAAATAAAAAAAATAAAAAAAAAAAATTGGTTTTATTTATTCCCAAATACTGAGGATAAAATACATCATTTTTACCTCACAATTTGAGGAAAAGAAGGTGAGAATGAAAAGTATAATGTTCTCCAAGCAGAACTCTGTGCTGTGACTTGCAGAACTGGTCACAGAACTGTGACTGCATGTCTCATTTTTCATTCCTACACAAGCCATAATTTTTTATTATTTTTCTCAAGTGTATTCAAGGGGCATATTTGTTTTTTAAAAATGACCAGCAAGTGCAATAGAGTGTTAGCCTAATCAAGTTTACTAAACTAAAATTTGCAAATCTGTTTCTGAGCAATGGCTATAAACAAGAGATATCCAGTAAATTTTAAATTCTCTTTGGGGTCAAATGCTAATAGAGATATTGAATTTAATATGTAACAGAACTTGATTTACCAGATTAACAATTCCTGTTGTCTTAAATTAGCAGAGAAAATTACACACTGTCAACAGTATGTTTGTGCTGTTCTTAATTTCTTTCATTATACAGAAAATGTGAATCACAAATCTGATAAAAAATGTTAATAAAAAGTCATATTAGAGGTCATTAATCTCAAATAATTACAAAATATAGAACTGGAATACTGCCAAGTACCTAAATCTCCTAAAATGACAATAATGAAGCTCAGAAAGTTTGTGAGCAGTTTACAAGGCAGAGGAGGATGTCTGTGGTACAAAGATAGACACGCTGGTGATTTGGAGCAGCTTAATAGCATCCGTAATCCAAAGCAGGAACAGCAAGGTGTTCTTCAGCAATATTCTTGACTAAGATGATAAGAATGAAAATCAAATAGTTTGGAATTACTCGTCCTGAACATGCTGTTCAGTACAATTAAAAGAATAAGCAGAAACTGAAGACTACATAAGGAAGTTGCTAGGATTGGTTTAGGAGATCATACCAAGATAACTGGACTTTACAAGTACACGGCATTTTTTCTCTTTAGCCTGTAATAACAGTGTTAAAAAACTATGGCGGTCCTACTAAAGTGCTATTTTTAGAAGTAATAAAAAAAAACTTTTAAAGTAATTAAAAAACCCCACTGCTCTCCTAATCCACTGTTGCCTATTGTCAAGCTTCATTCTGAAAATGTTGCTACACAGTAAACTTTTCTGAATATTTTGCCTTCTCCAGACCAGTAATAATTAGTATTATAGACAGCAAGACAACTAACACTACAGCACTGTAACAAACACAAACTGAGTCCAGTGCAATTATGTGGACATCCCCACTGGCCAGCAAATGCCTTATTTGTCACTCTAATACATCCCATCATTACAGCAGAGGGGCAGTCAGGCAATCTTTCTCTTCATGTTTCACAGAAATGGAATAGGAGTCCTTCCCCATGTAGAGAACTATATATAAACCTGCACGATTTATTACTGTGAGAAAAAAAAACACCTGAATGAGAGTGATCTGTTGGCCCACGTTGCTCGAAGTAAAAAGCCCCCAAGGAGCTGGAAGTGTCACAGATGGTATCACTGTAAGTAAAACAATCTTCATCACTCTCTAGAACTACCGAAAAGGTTGTCGTGAGCTGGGGATCAGTCTCTTCTGGATCGCCTGCTGTGAGGGGACTAGAGGAAATGCCCTTCAGGTGAGAGAGGGTAGCTTCAAAATAGGTGTTAGAATAATCATTGTTCAGGTGGTCAGGCAGTGGAATAGGTTTCCCAGGAAGGTGGTGGAGTCACCATTCCTGGAGATGCTTAAGACGTGTCTGTGACTGGCGCTGGGTGATTTAGGGGTTACAGTGGTAACGCCGCGTTATCCTTGGACTTTTATGATTTTAAAGGTCACTTCCACTTTTGATTATTGTATGATTCCACTATTGATGCGTCTGGCCCTTGTACTGACAGTCCACGTCACCGTATCTTCCCTTTGGTGATGCTTTTTCCCCTAGACTGAGCCACCTGCTTTGATACCCTGGTGTGTGCCGATATGCCACTAAAAGAAGTGTCCAGGCCCGTTACTCTTAGACCAGGCCCGCGCTCTTCCTGGGCAAGAGCAGAGCTTTAGCTTCGTCACTCGCACCGCGGTGAACGGCGCAAACCCCACGGCTTTGGGGCTCCCGCCTTGCTCGGTTCCCAGGCGGGCGGTGACCCCTCCGCGGCGCTGACAGCCAGCTGACGCGCGGAGGAACACCGCGCCGTCGCGTCAGCGGGCGGACCTACA